TGAAATTTTTGAAGTTCCTTACAAATGGAGAGTATAAAAAGTTAGGCCCGCCGAACTTGGCTACTTTTTTACTTGTTCTCTCTCACATATTATTATTGTAAGAAGTTATCGAGCATCATTGAACAATAAAATATAGCAAGAAAACAATTGTTTTCCAAAATGTGTGCATTAGGTTTTGAAAATGCTTAGAAAGCCGAATCAAAATTGTATTTTGTATGTCAAAAAATCAGTTATTCAATTCCATAATTCAACTTTAATCGTTTATTGTTGGAAACAAAATATATAAATGATGTCCTTAAACTTTCAATTAGCCATATGGCTACATATATAATATTTCATACGGCCAAAACGTGTGTCATAGGTTTTAGACCCTAGGTCTATTTGGACCAAATCCCTTTCAGGATATTTAGAGTCGATCTAGCGATGTCCGTCTGTCTGTCTGGCTGGTGCGCACGATAACTCTCGAAGGGAGTATATATCGTAATAATATTATCAAACTTAGATCGAGTTCGGAGATCGGAAATATCGGTTCAAGCCTTCTGGTGTCTTCCTGGTGACATTTTCGCGGACAAAAAATTATCTTATAGAGCAAGAAGAGATCGTCCAATTTTCAGCAATCTTTAGGAATCTCAATATTTGTTTCAGTGTTAGATCAGGTGCGGAAAAGGACTATTTCGATGCGCGTCTTTATATCCCCACCTTGGAAAGGAGGGAATATTAACTTTGTTATTCCGTTTTAACATCCCTAAATATTCGTCGTAGACCCCATAATGTATATATATTCATAATCAGCATAAAATTCTAATACGAATTAGCGATGTCCGTCTGTCTCTCTGGCTGGCGCGCACGATAACTCTCGAAGGGAGTATCCGATTTGGCCCAAACTTGGTACATCGTAATATTATTATCAAACTTAGATCGAGTTCGGAGATCGGATATATCGGTTCAATTCTTCTGGCGTCTCCCCCACAAAAGGTATACATTTTCACGGACAAAAAATTATCTTATAGAGCAAGAAGAGATCGTCCAATTTTCAGCAACTTTTAGGAATCTCAATATTTTTATCAGTTTTAGATCAAGTGCGAAAAAAAAACTATTTCGGTCGACTCCATCAAGTACCTCCCCCACAAAGGATTCAAATTTTGAATAATTATAAGTCTTGTAAAATGTAAAATAATGGTTCGATTGTATTTAAAACTTTGCACAACTCAATATTTTTATCAACACAAGATCTAGTATAGAGATGGGATATATCGGTTTACGCCTTTAGGTACCTCCCCCACACAGGGTCAACATTTTGAATAATCGTTTCTTTTATAAAATGTCATATGGTCTTTAAATTTCGCACATCTCAATAATTACACCAACACAAGATCTGGTATCAAAAACTGATAGAACAGACAACTCTTTCTGGCACATCCCCCACAACGGGTCATAGGTTTTGAATAACCACGACGCTCATAAAAAGCGAAATGAGCATCCGATTCTTTTCAATCGTGGCAAATGTATATATGTACTCTATTATCATGATAAAATTAAAACTAAAATAAAGGTAAAGTCATTTCAAATAAGCATATCTATCTCTGCAATTTCCTGTAAAGTAAAACAGCAGTGCTTCTTTTACTGTTGTTTAAGGCCCTTGAACTCTTAAGAGTATTTTCTTTTAAATGCATTTTTACAATTGCATCTTGTGACTATAATTAGATGATCCCCTTGAAATATTTATCTTTATCATTGAAATTTCAAAATAACATTGTAGGGGTTAGGTAAATATTTTCCGCGGGTATCTAGATTACGTAAAAACAGTAGGTTCATTTATTATCTTTATTTTTGTTACAATTGTCGACGTTTGTGCATTTTTGATGATAGCAGCTAACAAGCTTTAAATTTATTTACTTTTTGCTTATTTAATATGGATTAAACACAAGCGGCCCGGGCAATAATTTTTTTATATAATTATTTTTACTAACTCGATAGACTATTAAGGAAATATTTTTGGATAAGGTAAAGGGACTATGTTGTAATGTGTTAGATGATTGATCATTATTTTTTTTTGTAATTTAGTTTGAAACACATCATTTTAATACTGACACTTGCATATTTATGCCTTTTTATATCCTCCACTATAGTGGAGTGGAGTTGTAACATATATATGTTTTTGATATATATATATATATATATATATATATATATATATATATATATATATATATATATATATATATATATATTTTTTTTTTTTTTTTGATTAGCATCAAATTCTATGCCGTCCTTCTGTCTGTGGAAATCACTCAAGCTTCCGAGCGAAATGAAGTGGATTGATAAAATTTTACTCAGATGCGTGTCTGTTCTGCAGAACTTTTGGTATTGAAAATGGAAAATATAGGTCCACGGAAATATTTCAAATTTGCATTTTCAAGTTCCTAATGGGTACTACAGTCTTTGCAATGGTACACCCTATATTCAGTATTTTGATTATTTTAGCGATATTGTTTATCGGAATTGCATCAAATTTCGTATTTGTAATTCCTAATGGGTACTACCACCTTTGACAGAAAATTGTCTATGCAGGTACATGTCTTCGTATAGCCCCCATATAATGGTCCCTCTATCTATTCGGTATTTGTGGAGTTATGGGACATTATCCACGGGAATTGTTTCATACTTTCGTATTTGAAGATCCTAATGGGAACTACCGGTCAAAACGTGCCTAGTCGAAATAACGGTTTTAGATCCTAGGTCTTTGGACCAAATCCGTTTCAGGATATTTGGAGTCGATAGAGCGATGTCGGTCCCTACGTCTGTGTGTCTGGCTAATGCACACGATAACTCTCGAAGGGAGCATCCGATTTGGTCCAAACTTGGTACATCGTAATATTTTTGTCAAACATAGATCGAGTTCCGAGATGGATAATATCGGTAAACCCCCCCCCCCCCCCCCCCCACAAAAGGTCGAAATTTTCAAAGAATATATTTTCAAACTTCGTACATCGTAATATTTTGGTCAAACATAGATCGAGTTCGGAGATGGACAATATCGGTCCACTAAGCCCCCCCCCCCCCACAAAAGGTCGAAATTTTTAAAGAATATATTTTCAGCATAGGAAGGGAAACGATAATCCGATTTTGCTCCAACTTTGAAAATCCTAATATTTGCATCAGTGATGCAACTCTACAGTGATTACAACTCTTATAGAATGTGATGTAAGAGTCCGATTGTCAAATTTCACACACCCTTATTTTTTTATAAAGCCAAGATCTGGTGTTCAGATGGAATATATCGGTCCAATCCTTCTGGTACCTCCCCCACAAAATTAATATCTCATTCCATTTAGAATCTGAATATTTCTATCAACACAGGATCTGTTACATTCAAAGTTTTGAATAACCAAGACGGTAATAAAATTCGAAATATGGTTCAGGTTCTCTTTATATTTCACACATACCATTATTCCTACTGACACAAGATCTGTTGTGAAGATGGGATATATCGTTTCACTCCAAGATCAATACATTTATCTGTCATAACTTGCGAAACAAGTCAGCAATTCTTAACAACTTGCTATGCCTAACTATTTCTCTCGACCTTCTGATCGGAATTTATGATTTCGCATAATATTAGATATAAATTTTCGATTTTCTTATAATTTTGCCCATATCAATATTTTTATGTGTATTAGATGAAGTATAAGAATGGAATACTTCGGTAGACTATACGTGGTACCTCACGCACACTTTAACATTTTCTAAAAATTATCATGTATCTTACATAAAGTGAAGGAAGAAGTCGATATAGTCCATACCTGTCACTTCGCAATATTTATATCATATTAATCATAACACAAGCTAAAATATATTTAAATAATCGAACATAGACTGAGGGTATACATCTGTCGGCAAACCCGACTGATACTATTTAAATTGTTTACTTATTATTTCTAGATTTTTTTCGCAAGTTCGCGTTTGTGGACAAGATACGTACCTTGAATTAATGAGAACTCAAAGTTTACTTTCGTTTCGTTTTAAAATTGCTCTCATTTCTGTGTGATTTGAATTCAAAAATGTTCAAAAAAATTGGTCAGAACAACTAAGAATTATATTTACAGTTAATAGCCCCTACTATATCTTATACAATTTTACAGAGATATTTAATTAAAATCGAATATATTTACTATTCAAGATGACATACATATTGGTCCACGTTTCGGTGTAACTTCGCTATACGATACAGCACGACTTAAAGTATTTTGGTAGCTAGAGTTGTGCGGAAAGTTTCCCATACCCATTCCCAGAAAACACCATCTTCGCCTTAACTGGCAAAAGTTGAAACTGAAAATATTCCACTCCGGTAGTTTGAAAACTACTACTCCATCATCTGTGTGTGTGTGTTAGATGTTTTGATAAAATATCGATGATAAAAAAGTGCAAAAAGAGAAATCTTGTTTTTTTCTAATTACACTAAAATCATTCAATTTTACCATCATTCAGGTCAACTTTAATGTGTGATTTTTTTACGAATCAAATCTGTTAAAAAAATCAATGTTTACAAAAATACCAACAACCGTGGCATAATAATTTTGCGTGAAGTTCAGGTGCAAAAAAAACCTATCGAAAAAAAAAACTTAATTGAATATGCCTCGGGGGTTCCCATAACCATCTATAGGCAACAACTCTCAGCTTTATTTGGGAACATTAATAACACAAAATTTGTCAAAGTATTGGCGTGGAAGATTTTTTGAATTGTTTGTTTTGATTTTTCGAAAACTATTAACAATAACCGGACAAAACCCCATTTGTTTTTGTTGCTGTGGCTTTGTGCACCACCCCCACCATCACCTCTCTAGCCCTGTGTTAAGCTATTCTTGGAATAAAACAAAAATATTATTATAAACAAATTAGCAGAAAACAAACGAAAGCTTAGCGCAGTGGGAGAGTATAGAGAATGAAGTCAACAATTCGAGTATCTCTTGGCCAGATTGAAATAAATCACAGAAGGCCTGTTCAAAATCGTTAAACACTTTGCAAAATAGTTCATTATGAAACTTTTTAGCGAAACATTGTTCGGTCGGTGCTGGGCGAAATTAACAACGAAACAAGAATTGAATTTGGAAAATGCGGAACGCAGTGAAGAACCCGCGGTGGCTGTAATATATCAACGTAATGAAAGTAGTTAATTAATAAATGAAAGAAATGGAAATAATTCCAATTCGGAATCAAGACTGACCATTTCGAAATAACAAAATAACTGTGCTATCCTAACAAATATAAACCGATGCTCTTTTTTTAAAATTATGGTGATTTTTTTAAAATTAAAAATTGAATTATTGAAAGCGAATTTTTCTCTGTTAAGTGTTTTGCTAAAAAAGTGTGCATGATTTCTATACGTGTCAAGAGTAATTAAAACTTAAGGGCAACAAATTGATAATTGATAAATTATTGTTTTTTACCCGGTAGTGTTTTAATATATAAAGATGGAAATAAAACTATACAATCTGAAGTCTTTTGTGAAATTGATGTTATAATAAAAATGTTGAACTTTTCAACTATGAGATTCCTTTTTCCAATGTAAAATATGAAAAATGCAAAATTGAAATTTTGATAACTAACTTTATTTTTGTGCCTTTTATATTTTCGTCGTTATATAGCCTAGAAATTGGCAAAATATGCAATTTTAAAATCTACCTCTTATAGAAAACTTTATACTTTGAACATATACCAATTCGAACGACCGTGCAAATGAAATCTTACAAGGCGTAAACATTTAAATATTTAAAAGTGCGGTTCAATATTTTAAATCTGTTCTCTCCTAAAAGGCTCTGAAACAAAAAATGAGATAACCACGTGTTTTATCAACTAAATTAATGTTTAGTTTACTGTACAAAATCGTGATTCAATATAATTAAATTAAAAGTGTATTTCATGTGGACATACAAAAAACCTATGTCAATCTTAATGGTTTTAGCCTGCTCAAAGAAGAAGTACAGTAAAACAATAGGAAGCTACTATATTAAGCAGTTCTACCCTTAACAAATATACCTCAATTATGGCAAAAGTGTAAAGTAAATTATACCATATGGGATTAATATTGAGTTAGTATTGCGGCTTTAGAACGGTTGAACTTTGAATTCGAATGTAACTAATATATGGGAGCAGAATCGATTTCCGCTAAATTTATATATTTTTTTCTGCTGTAACAAATAACAAATATGTTTGCTATAAAGTGTATAACTATGAAGAAGGTTTAAATATAAAATCGGATGAAACATATATATTGGAGTTATTTCTATATTTGATTTGATTTGATTTGCTCAAAGCTTGGCAGAACTTATTCTCTTCGGAGCTTTATGGTATGATAAAAATGTCAACATAATGTGACAAACGTAGACTGTTGGTATATCATTCATCTCAAATTATATGAAAATATATATGGGAGCTGCATCTGAACTGATTTTGACCAAATTTGTCAAATATACTTCTAACGAATATTAATTTTATGGAGTGCATATTGCGTATTTAAAGGCTTAAATGAGATCTATAGCTTTATATGAATCAATTGTCATCAAATTTGTCCTTGGGTCAAACAGATAAACTTGCAAAGTTTTGCCTTATTCGGCTAATAAATGAGACCTGTAATTTCTTTACATAAATACACCAACCGACGGACATAGCAGACGGACATAAGTAAATCGGCTCAGAATGTTGGAAAGTGGTTAATTGAGGGATTTGGGACTTTGCAGATATGCAAATTAGTAAAAAACAAGTAATTACCAATATATTCTATTTTCACACCTGACCTTGGGTTAATAAAAATATTGTGATGTGTGATCAGACGCTTACAGCACATTTTAATTATTATTATTAATTATTCAACATTTTTTCTTTTTTTCTCTAATTTCAATGAAATTTGGAATGTGTAGCGGAAATTAAAACAAATATACATTTGTCAAATTATATTAAAATCGGTTCAGATTTGGATATAGCTCTCATATATATTTTTGACCGATTTCATGTATTTTATGCACCATACACGATATGTATGTTCGATTCCAAAGAAATTTGGAATATGTAACGGGATTTTGATTAGAAAATAAATCAGTCAAATTATATTAAAATCGGTTCAGATTTGGATATAGCTCCCATATATATTTTCCGCCGATTTCACATACTTGATGCACAAAACACGATACGTATTTCCGATTCCAACGAAATTCGGCATGAGTGGCTAAATTTGGTAAAAAATAAATTTGACAAATTATATTCAAATACGCTCAGATGTGATTATAGCTCCCATTTATATACTCAGCCGATTTCACATATTTGATGCACCCAAAGCGAGAAAGACCAAATCTGGCACCAGAAAAAATTGCCAAATTATATTGAAATCAGTTGAGGTTTGGATATAGCTAACATTTATATTTCGGCCGATTTCATACATATTATGCACCACACACGATATATATGACCGATTCCAATGAAATTCAGAATGTGTGGCGGAATTTGGTTATAGTAATAAATGTGATAAATTAATTGGAAATTAGTGAAGATTTGGATATAGCTACCATATATATATTCTCGGCCGATTTCACACATTTGACCCACCAATTTCAATGAAATATGAAAGGTGTGGCGGAGTTTGGTGTAAAAGTAATTTTTTTAAAATTATATTTAAATCGGATCAGATTGGGATATGATTTTAATAAGAACCATTGACCCACAACGCCTTAGGCTAACACTAAAAAACAACACAACAATTTATTTGAAATACGCTTATTACGGCGAAGTATGTTGCTATCTCGAAATCACTAATTGCAATAGAAATGCCCCTCTACTTAAAAAATTGCAGTTTCCTGCACGCTTGGTATTTGCTATGAAATAAATAAATCCAAAGGACAAATCCTTCGTGTATGCATGTCATGTTACTGCTTTTGAAATGATTTTGTTTATTAACGCATTAAATTAGTGCAATATTTATTTTTTTTAATTTTTAAATTTGTTTTTCTTTATCCAACATATGTTCGTAAATAAAATTTTGAATGCATATAAAATCAAAAGGGGTAGCGAAGCGCACCGGGTTCAGCTAGTTAATTATAATTTCGGGCCGTGCAAAATTTAAAGAAAATCGAACATTCATTTCCAATTTCATGCGAATAATAGTCAATCAAAATTTTAGCATTTTTTGAAGAAGAAACGAGAAGAAGTGGTCGATATATTCCATACTTACATCACATATCTGGCTGAGAGAAATTTTTAGATACTCCAGCAACTTGTCTAGCGAGTAATGAGGAATATAATTATTGAAAATTGTGACGCCTTGTCCGATTTGTATCATTCGTTTGTAAAAATACTGAGATCTGAGAAATTTGAGGAAAATCGGAGGTTTATTTCACATTTTATGAATGTTTTGTTATTAAAAATTCTTTACGTCAGATCGTGTGTTGATGGAGGTATCAGAAGGAGAGGGATATTTTTGGAGAAACGGATGCTTATTTCGCATTTTATGAGAGCTATAATTATTCAAAATATTAACCCTTTGTGGGGAGGAGCATAATGGAGTGTGTCGATATTGGCCATTTTCGCATTGTCACCAATATTGGGATTTGCAAAGTTTGCACAAAATTAATTGATCCTTTCTTTATAACTTCAATGATTTTTGGCAGATAATTGGCTGAAGTGTTTCACGTTTTCGCATAGTCCTTAAATATGATATTTTGAATTTTTAAAATTATAGCTGCATCTTTTTGCATTGGATTTGAAACCTTTTGCAGCGGAAATGAAACCTTTTGCAACCAAAATGAAACCATTTGCAACCGAAATGAAATTTTTTGCAAATTAAATGAAACTTTTAAATTTATAAAAGGAAAAATAACAAAACATTTTTATTCTTAGTAGTTTTAAAATTAAATCAATTAATTATAACTAATATATTGATAAAGAAGAATGTTTATTGATTATAAATATCTACATTTTCATATAATTTCTTAAATTAAGCTTTACTACAATTTTTTCATTGTTATAGTATATTATTAATCTTACCTAATAAAGGATTCCCGCTTCGCAGCTTTATGGATTATGGAGATAGATCAGTCTTACTATGTGGGCTGTTGAATGGTTCTCTCTATCGCGTACACAATGTAATGCGTTATTGAAACATACCGCTATAATTTTCAATTCCAAACATCCTAGACACAACACAATGTTGTGCCAAATTTCAAAGCTTAATAAAATTTGATCTCCGTATCGTGATTTCAATAGACAGATAAGTGGAAATCATTAAATCAACTTTAATCATGATTGTATATACTTTATGGGGTCTACGACGAATATTTAGAGGTGTTACAAACCGAATGACAAATTTAATATACCCTCCTTTCCATGGTGGAGGTTATAAAAAGGTACCTAATTCGGGTCCTTTGGAAAAGGGGCCTTTTGAATCCATCTGCCGAATGAAACAGACTAGAAAAGACCGGTGTATAAGGGCAGCTCCAGAAATTCCTTTACAACAGTAAAGGTCCCTGAGATCTGTAGTGTGTTGCAATACCACTGTCCGGAATTGATTATTTGAAGAGACTCCACGACAGTATTTGATACCAAGCCTGGTCCTCGTGTCAATTTATTATCTCCTTTTTTATTTTCTCTCTCACATTTCTCTGAAATTGTTATTGTTTATTTGTTTTTTTTTTTTCAACCAAAGCTGTATTTAATAAAAATAAATTTAAAACATGTCATAACAATTTTATACCAATTCTTTATTTTATTATTGCAGCCAAAGAAGATGAGGCATATCCGATGAAAAATGATTCCGACAATAGAAACGGTGATGTGGCTCTTCCAATCGCTCAGAACTACACAAAACCCAAAGAGAAAAGTTTGTTGGCAAGACGGCTTTATATTCTCTCCTGGATTGGTAGCTATGAACGTGAAAAAGGAATGTCCGATTTGATTGCCGGCATTACATTGGGCATGACAATTATTCCACAAAGTATAGCCTATGCGGCGCTGGCGGGTCTCTCATCGGAATACGGTTTATATTCAGCATTTATGGGTAAGTTTGAAAAAATATATTTTATTAAAATATCGATTGCAATTTTTGATTATTTTAATTATTTTTCTCTAGGTTCCATTATTTATGTTTTCTTCGGTACCATACCCCAAGTGTCTATCGGTCCTACAAGTTTAATGGCTCTGTTGACGTTGCAATATTGTTCGGATAAGCCAGTTCAAATTGTCATCGTTTTAGCATTTATGGCGGGACTGGTTGAGCTGTTAATGGGCGTTTTTCGATTGGGTAAGTAAATTAATGAAAGTTTGATATAAAATGGAAATATTGTATTTTTATTAAGATGACTTGAGATGGTGATTAGAAAAACCTACTGAACATGGGATATTGTGGAATTTTAAGATATCTATTTATAATAAGTCTGTCTGGTACATTGTTCTATCTGCAAGTAAAGTCCAGCGACTTTTTTCTCATAGAGTAAGGTATTTTTATTGTCTTTTGCAAGAATACTGATAAAAGCAAACAGTTTAAATCAGCTGTTTGCCAAAAAGAAAAAAACAATTTGAAACAAAGTTCCAAAAATTTCTGTATTTTAAAAAAATGAATCGCCCAGTTTAGGAATGAATTCCAATTTTTCAAACTTTGTTCTGAAATTAAATTCAAAACAAAACAATTGCTTGCACAAATATATATCACCAGTTGAAGACGAAGATTTTCAAGTGAATTCAAGAAAAAAATCCGAAAAATATTGTAGAGCAAAGTCTCAGTAAAAGAACTGCCAAAGTGTCACTCTCGAATCGTTCGCTTTTTTTAATAGGCAACTTCTATTAACAAATTGCACCAAATAATTTATTTTTTAAAAAACCAGACATACCTAATGTTTTCTACCTTCTTCCAAGCTCGGTTAGAGTTAATTACAATAATTAGCATTTACTTGGGATCCACGAAGATATATTCATTTGTCATCAAAATTCTATTTCTGTTTTCTTTCTTAAAAAATAGGAATGTGTTGATTTAATTCATTGATGATTTTTTTCTTCGTTCTAAGAAATTGGACTTTGAAATTATTTGCGGTTACAATTATTAACCAAATTATTATGTCATATACATAAATATGGATTTATAAATAAAACATCTCTTGCTAAAATAATTTTTAGCATTCTTGGATTTTATTCATAAAACAAACAAATAAATGACACATGTATAAATGGCGTTAAGTTTGACTGAACTTAACTTAATATAAACTAAAACGTGATAAGCATACTTAATCGCTCTTAAGACTGTGAGGTTAAATGGGGTAAAGAAATATCGAAAATTAATACACATGATACAGAAGTATACAAGGTAGAGCAAAACACAAGTCTGATGGTAGAGTATCACCTTTTTTGTTTACGAAAAATGATTGAAGTAAAATATTATTATATTCCAAAACTAAAAAGTGTATTCTTCGCAGATTACTTAAAAAAACTCATACATAGTTCAATAAAAGGAAGCAGTATAAAGTTACCTCTCAAATACTTGCGGTGCCCCTATTCAGTCAAAACATATAGCCAGTTTGTAAATTTGTGTGTTTTTTGTTTTGAATTTGATTGAATGAAATAATTTGAAATATTTTCAAAATAAGTTGGTAAATAGGAATATAACAATACAAAAAGTAAAAGGAGTAAAAGGTGTCTTTATAGACAAACTGGATATAAAAGTTGTTTAGAAATGCGAACTATTAATGTACTAATAGCATTATACAGTACTTAATTTGGTACCATTTGGTGAAACGAATAGAGCTAAATTTTTAAAATTCGTCTAAGAATTAATTTTGGGAAGTAATTAGTAAACTTAATTCCAAATTTAAGGGTTCTAGCTCTATCGGTTCACATAAATACAAATATTTCCAAAACTACCTACATATCTCAATCCTGCAATTTTCTGGATGCCAGCTCTATTGGTTCACCCAAATTTATGTACATTTTAGGGTAAATATTCAAATTTCGAGATTCCAACTCTACTGGTTCACCCTAAATTTCAATTGTACCCAAATTAAGTACGAATTACTGTACATAAGTACGAATTTCCAAAACTACCTACATTTCTAAGTCCTACAAAGCAACAATAATCTTATTTTCAAATTTCGAGATTCCAACTCTTTTTGTTCTCCCAAAATTTAAATTGTACTTAAATTAGTTCTATTTAGTAAACATAAGTACGAATTTAAAAAAAAACCTAATCTTGCTCTATTGGATCACCTGAATCGAAATTATACCAAATTTAGTAGCATTTAGTACTTTTCGTGCAAATAAGTTCAAATTTCCTTCCTAAACTATCTCTTTACATCGGCTTGATTCCCATTTAAAGTTTCTAGCTCTAACCGTTCACATGATTCGAAATGGTACCAAATGTAGTACTTTTTAGTACTTATCGTACACTTATAGCGTGAATTTCCAAAAGCCCTTTGATACACTCATTCTAAATTCAAGAGTTCTAGCTCTAATACTTCCTCAAATACAAAGGGTACCGTTCTACTACGAATGTCTAAAACTGACCCTCCCCCAAAAATTCAAAGGATCTAGCTTCAGCCGTGTTTTCGGACGTTGATGAATCGTTAAGTCAGTCAATCAGTCAATTTACTCTTTTATTTATATAAATGTATGTTTCATCTCAATACTCAATACTACTACTACTTTCCAAAGTACGGTCGTTGGAAGCCATCCACACCGAATAACAAGATGTACTGTTATTATAGGTACCATACCAATTGGAGAACTTCGTAAATAAAAAAGAGCTTTTTTCTATAGGCAAATTTTGGTTCACCTAACTCCAACACAAACAAAACGAAGTGCGAAAGTAGACAATCAAAAATATCAAAATTTAAGCAAAAATGGATATTTCACACAAAAGGTATGGTCCACTTCAACCGCTGTGCTGTGTCGATCCCAACAGGTGCGCTTCTTCGCTGCTCTAAACTCTAACCCCATGCAAAATTATGCGCCAATTGGTATATAATTATGGCCTGAGAGACTACAAAATCAGAAAAATCTCTTGTTGGTCCATTTCAAGCCCTAAATATTTCTATTCCGACCCTATCCCTGACTCAACGCAAAATTTCTTGAGGTTTGCATGATAATTGTGACCTGTATCGTGATTACAAATGAAGGTGGATAGACGGACACACATAGCTAAATCTATCCAGCTCCGCGAGATTGGAAGATAAATATGCAAAATCGTGGGTCTAGCACCAATATTTCGAGGTTTGTGGCATCAACTAACCTTTGGCGGATTAGATTGATATTCCGCCACCCCATTTATACTTTTATTTATATTACTCGTAATCTTATTTATTTTATATATTATCTTATTTTTATTATACTCGTAATCCCCATTGCAATTTTGGGGATTAAGACCTTTTTTCGGTCATAATTCCCATAATAAAATGGGGAGTATGACTGTTTGCTACTTACAAAAATTATTAAATGTAGTAAAGTTGTGTTCGCGTTAGCCGGCGAGGACATATCCAGGAGAGAAAGTCTTTGGACAAACCTATTATATTAAAGTTATGTCCGCTATGTATGTCCTGAGCCCCATAATTGCAATTGGGATTATGTCCGTGTGGATTAAGTCCGTGCACCGACACGGACTTAATCCAATAGATAAAATGAGCTTTTACTCCCGGACGAAAAAAGTAAATGAACTGAAATAAAAACTTGATTGTCTGGGTAACAATTGCTTGTCTGCCTCAAACAAAAGTTCTGTGAACAGGCTATTAATATGTCCAATCCAGACAATCTAGAAAAAAACTTAGGAGTGCACTTTGATTTCGACATTTTTCTCTTTTCATGCAAGAAGCTTTATCTACTTCAAATGACGTACAATTGATTCAGACAGACATCCCCCAAAACATAAGATAAAAATATGGGGAGATAAGAAAGAAGAACGCACGCGACAGTATCAAAACACTATTACGTTTCTATGTACATAAAACATAAAATAAATAATAAATTTAATTTAATTCTTGTTTATATTAAATTAAATATTTAAATACCATTCTTTTTGATAGGTTTTATTGTGAATTTTATACCATCACCTGTAACGAAGGCCTTTACCTCGGGAACAGCCCTGATTGTGGCCTTGGTTCAAATGAAAACTTTGTTTGGTGTCAAAGTCAAGGGAATACCAACTCCCGCTGAATTTTGGAATAATATCAAGGTTCCAGATGCAATTGTGGGAGTTACTTGTCTCGTTGTACTGCTGCTTTTGAGAGTAAGTAAAAAAATAGTTATTCGTCTCCAAAACTCGAATGTAAAACTATGATTTCTGCTTCAGCAATTATCCAGCGTGAACTTCAAGAAGAAGAATGAGACAACAAGACGTCTGAAGAAGCTTCTTTGGTACATCAGTATCTCACGCAATGCATTGGTCGTCTTCGTTTTAAGCTTCATCGCCTACATGTGGATTAAGAAGAGTTCCATTGAAGCCATTCCATTTTCGCTGTCATCGAAAGTTACTTCCGGTTTGCCTCAATTCAAATTGCCACCTTTCTCATTTGAGAGCGGTAATAGGACATATGGATTCTTTGACATCTGTTCGGAATTGGGTAGTGGCTTGATTGTCGTACCCATTGTTGCTGTTTTAGCCAATGTGGCTATTGCCAAGGCTTTTGGTAAGTTGACTGGGGTTGTTTGTATAAAGTTTTTTTTTTTTAATTGTTAATTTTTTGTCAACAAAATTTCAGTTAAGGATAGTCAACTGGATGCTTCGCAGGAAATGTTAACATTGGGTCTGTGTAACTTGGCCGGTTCATTCTTCAGTGCCATGCCCACATGTGGTGCATTTACCCGTTCAGCTGTCAGTCAGGCAAGTGGTGTGAAAACACCAATGGCTGGTATTTATACTGGTAAGTTGGGACCAAAAAAGAGTTTCGTCTCTATACAAGGCCTTTAAAGAGGTCTACTGCATACAAAAGACTTCTAAGGTTCTTTTGTCTATGAAAGTTCTGTAAAAAATTGTCTATCATTGGGAAACTTGTAAATATTTTAAGTTAATCCTTAATATATTTTAAAGTTCTGTCTCATTTTAATTGATCGACATATAGTTCTCCGCCATTCTATGGAAAGTATATTAACTTTGTCATTCCGTTGGTAACTCCTCGAAATACTCATGTTAGACCCTACAAAGTTTATATATTCTGGATCGGCGTAAAATTCTAAATCGATTTTTCGATGTACGTCTGTCTGTCTATCCTGTCTGATGCAATTACACTAAATTTCGAACCAATTGAGATGGAGGCTAATAGGAATTTAAAATTCGTAAATGGGCCATGTCGGTCCACGTTTTAGTATCGGCCCCAATATTCGGTATTTTTATGATTTCAGCGACATTATTCACCGGAACTTCGTATTTGAAGTTCGTAATGCGTACTACAACAAATGACAGAGAATTTTCTATGCAGGTCCACGTCTTCGTATAGCCAATATATAACGGTACCTCCGTTTTTTGGTATTTATATGATATTCTCGACATTATTCACCAAAATTGATTCCAATTTTATGTTCGTAATCGGTACAACAGGCTATTACTTATGCAGGCCAAAACGTTTTTTTTTTTGACCCTAGGTCTCTTTGGACCTAATCCGTTTCAGGGTATTTGGAGTCGATTTAGCGATGTCCGTCCGTCTGTCTGGCTGGTGCGCTCGATAACTCTCGAAGGGAGTATCCGATTTGGCCCAAACTTGGTACATCGTAATATTATTAGAAAACTTACATCGAGTTCGGAGATGGACAATATCGGCCCACTCTTTCTGGTACCTCTCCCACAAATGGTCGAAATTTTCAAAAAAAATATATATATTTTTTGCACAGATAGAGAAACGATTTTGCTCCAACTTTGCGAGTCCTAATATTTGCGTTAGTGCTAAGTTAGGTGTGAAAATGCACAATATCGGTCCACTCCATCAAGTACCTCCCCCACCAAAGGTCAAAATTTTGAATAATATAAAAATTTAAAATTTGATCTAAGAGTCCGTTTGTCTTCAAATTTCATGCATACCAATATTTATATTAAGCAAAGGTCTGGTGTTAAGATAAAATATATATCAGTCCACTCCTTCTGGTACCTCCCCCACAAAATGTCGAACTTTTCAAAGAAAATATTTTACTGCACAGAAAGTGAAAGGATAATCCGATATTTCTCTAACTTTGAAAATCCATGTATTTGCATCAGTTCTAGGTCAGGTGTGAAAATGGACAATATCCGTCAGCTCCATCAAGTACCTCCCCCACAGAGGGTCAACATTTTCAATAATAATAACTCTGATAATAACTAAGAGTCCGATTATTTTCAAATTACAGACCACAATATTTTTATTAACCTAAGGTCTGGTGTGAAGGTGGAATATATCGGTTCACTCCTTCTGGTACCTCCCCCACAAAGGGTCAAAGTTTTGAATAACCAAACGATTATAAAATCCGAAATAAACATCCGGTTCTCTTCATGTTTCACACATCTCAACATTTTTACGAATACAATATCTGCTGTGAAGATGGGATATATCGGTCAACTCCTTCTGGTACCTCCCCACAAAGAGTCAAAAATTTCGATATCCATGAAGCTCATAAAACGCAAAATTAACATCCGATTCCATTCAGACTTGTTACATCTCAATATTTCCACCAGCTCAAGATCTGTTATAAAAATGGTAGAGATCGGACCATTCCTTCTGGTACCTCCGAAATTTTGAATAATCAAAACGATCCTAAAATCCGAAATAAGCATTCGGTTCTCTTCATGTTTCACACATCTCAATATTTTTACGAACACAAGATCTGCTGTGAATATGGGAGTTTTTGGTACACCCATTCATTCCCCACAAAGGCTCAACATTTTAATTATCCATGAAGCTTATACAACGCGAAATTAACAAGCATTCGATTCAGACTTGGTGTATATCTTTCTCAAACTCTCAAAGAAAGCGAATTAAGCATCTAACTCTCTTGAAATTTGACACATACAAACATTTTTGCTAACACAAGATCTTTTTAATACTTTTGTCTGTCATAACTTGCGAAACAAGTCAGCGATGCTTTACAACTTGCTGTATCCAAATATTTCTCTCAAGTAGAAATATGAGATGAATATAGAATATATGGTTTCGCATAAAAGTGGACATACATTTTCGATTTTCTTATAATTTGCCCATACCAATCTGTATTAGATGAAGTATGAAAATTGAATATTTCGGTCAACTTAAATTATCACATATCTCAGATAAGACGAAGGATGTAACCAATATAATCCAAACCTGGCACGTCGCAATATTTATATCATATTTATTTTGGTCCGATACGAAATGGACAATATAGGCCCGATCTTAGCTTCTTTTTTACTTGTTTTTTACTTTTAAAAGTATATTTTCCATTTCTTGTAGGCATTATTGTCTTCTCTGCCCTGTCGATTCTTACACCATATTTCCAGTATATTCCAAAATCCTCGCTCTCAGCCGTACTTATAGCTGCTGTGATATTCATGGTGAGTTGAGTCGAAAACCTTCTCATCCAAAAATATTTTCCAATAAAATCATTGTATCCTTTTTCAGGTTGATTTTAGTCCATTCTTAAATCTATGGAAAAACAATAAAAAAGACTTCTTCAGCTGGACTGGTTGTCTGGTGGTGTGTTTGGTAGCCGGTGTCGAAGTGGGTCTCCTGTATGGCATTGTACTTAATATGATATTTGTGTTACTCAGGTTGGGCAATCCCAAAGTGGATGTTAATCTCAAACAGGTGAGTTTTAGATAGCAAATTTATCTCCACAAATATTTAATTTAAATTTTCATTCACAGTGTGATTCTGTCACCTATGTCCACATCAAACCCATGTCCGATGTCTATTTCTCTGGCGCCGATGCGATACGCACCGAAATTCGCTCAGCTTGCATTCTATATCGTTACGATTTCCCAGTGGTGCTGGATTGTTCCCGCTTCATGCTCTTTGATGCCACTTTCATTGAAATGCTCAACGCAGTGGCCAAGGAGATTAACGAACAAAAGCAAATATTCGTTCTCCAGTCGTTGAGTGAAAAACATAAACCTCTATTTCCCGCTGCCAACTCGAATATTATTTTTGCCATGGACCCCTTGACTGTGGACGATTTTATGACTGCCGAGAAAAAGGCAAATGGAAATGGCAGTCTCATGGCTTAAGTTAGTTAAGTTAGAATATTTAATTAAGAAACGTTGACTGTGACATACATATGATTTACATATGTATGCATGTATTTAGTTATGAACACTTAAAAGATGGAGTATTACACGAGTTTGAAACTCGTTTGTTGCGATATTGTTACGAATAAAGTAAGAAATTAAATTCATAAAATTAAATTTTTTGGATGGACTAACATATGGATCATCTTCCTGTTAAAGTTGGTTTTAGCATGTTTTTGTTGGTAAATCGGACGAAGTTTTATGTGGAAGCTATATCCAAATCTGAACTATCTCGATAAAATTTAGCAAATGTATTATTGAGCTGCATTGGATATATTTCCCCAAATATTGTTGTTACAGAGTGCATATTACGGCTGCGGAGGACAAAAATAACAAAACGGATGAACAATATATATGGGAGCTATAGCTGTATCTGAACCGATTTCGATAAAATTTGGCATACACATTTTCAGGCCAAATTTGGGCTGATATTACACGTTTGGTGCACAATTAAAGGCAAATCGGATGAAGATATTTATGGGAGCTATATCTAAATTTTGACAATTTCAAAAGGGTTCTTCCTTGGGCCAAGCAAATGATTTGTGCCAAATTTCATCTGGATAGGGCAATAAATGCGAACTGTACTTTGTTTACAAAAATACATGGACAGTCGGACGGACAGACAGACAGACGGACGGATGGACAGACGGACGGACGGACATAAATAAATCGACTCAGAATGTGATTCTAAGCAGATCATCAAAAGGAGCTATGGATCTATCTCGTTTCCTTTTGCCTGTTACAAACAAATGCACAAAGACATAATACCCTGACCACCTTGCGGTGTAGGGTATAACCAGTAAAGAAAGTCTTAAAGTCGGCCGGGGCCGACTTTATGATACCCTAGACCACTTTGCTAATTTAGTAGAGCTGCGCATAACAATTAAAAGTTTTTATGGGAGAATTCAATCATACACGCTATGATTATAATTATAATTTAAAGTTCAAAGAACTGAATATGCCGAAGCATTTGTATTGCCTATTATAAATACATATGGGAGCTATATTCAAATCGGTATCGATCTCGATAAAATTTGGCAAAGATATTTCTGAGCTGTATTTGATATATTTCCCTGAATATCGTGTGTATGCCCTCGTTGGAGTGCATATTACGGCTGTGGGTAACAAATATGACAAATCGGATGAACAGTATATATGGAAGCTATAGCTATATCTGAACCGATCTTCACCAAATTTGACATACTAGCTTCTAGACTCAATTCGGTCGTAAGTGCCAAATTTCATCAAATTTGGCCAAATATTAGACGTTTGGTGCACAATCAAAGGTAAATCGGACGAAGTTATATATGGGAGCTATATCAAAATCTGAACTGATCTCGATAAAGTTTAGCAAATGTATTTCTGAGCTGTATTTGATATATTGCCCCAAATATTGTTGTTACAGGGTGCATATTACGGTTGCGGAGGACAAAAATAGCAAATCGGATGAACAATAAATATTTGAGCTATAGCATATCTGAACCGATTTCGATCAAATTTGGCATACTTATTTTCAGATCCAATCTGATCGTATGTGCAAATTCCATACAATTCGGACTGATATTACAAGTTTGGTGCACAATAAAGGGCAAATCAGACGAAGATATATTTGGGATCTATATCTAAATTATTACCGATTATCTCCAATTTCAATAGGGTTCGTCCTTTTGCCAAACAAATGATTTGTGCAAAATTTCATCTGGATCGGGCAATAAATGCGAACTGTACTTTGTTTACAAAAATACATGGACAGACGGATGGACGGACAGACGGACGAACATGCAGAAATCGACTCAGAATGTGATTCTGGTTTCCTTTTGCCTGTCAGAAACAAATGCACAAAGATATAATATATATATATATATATATATATATATATATATATATATATATATATATATATATATATATATATATATATATATTATATCTTTGTTCCTTTTAATGATCTGCACAGAATCACATTCTGAGCCGATTTATGCATATGTGTGGTATAGCCGCCATATAACGGTACCTCCCCATATTCGGTATTTTTATGATTTTAGCGACATTATTCACCGGAATTGTTTCAAACTTGGTATTTCAAGTTCGTAATGGATACTACAGCCTGTGACAGAAAATTGTCAGTGCAGGTCTACGTCTTCGTAAAGCCCTCATGTTACGTTACCTCCTGATATTCGGTATTTTGATGATTTTAGCGACATTATTCACCGGAATTGTTTCAAATTTGGTATTTGAAGTTCGTAATGGATACTACAGCCTGTGACAGAAAATTGTCAGTGCAGGTCCACGTTTTCGTATAGCCCCCATATAACGGTACCTCCCCATATTCAGTATTTTGATGATGACAGCTTTTTTACTTGTTAACATGTTAATATTAGGATTCAATTCGGTCCCAAACGTTTAGAATAATGAATCGGTTTTACTGACATTTTCAACATAACCCCTTGTAAATTGTGTTGGCAAGTCTTTGGTAAAAATAAATTTCATAATATATACGCTCTGCCGCTTTTGAGACATCTCTTTGGATATTTCGCTGCAGGTTCGTAGGTTTGTCCTAGGGTCCATTAGCAATTTAACTAGTTTAAGAAAAGGACTAGTTCAAGAAATGGCGTAGTTCAGTTCATTTTAGTTCATTGAATTAACATTATTATTCTAGTTTAGCAATTGGATCCCTGTTTTAAGTGTTGGGTCTAGTCTGTTTTTTGAGTATAATAGTTTTTTATGAATAAATTTTTGTTATGACAAGAAAAGGAAGAAGCTTTACAAATTTGAATGTTTGGGTTTTAATTTTTCTTTTATAGAAAATCCTCTAAACTGGCTGCAACTCCTGTGGCATCACACGGCAAAGAGGACGATGTCAAATTTGTTCGTTCCTGAACTATACAGCTTTAGACCTGGGCTGGAAACCACTTGTCGATTTGGGTTGGTTCGGTTCAGTGATTCACACTACCTTTGAACCATGGATCAGTTTTTGAAATGGTTTTTCAGCTGTTATCAACCTATTTATTTTCTTAATAAGTGAAAGACAAACTTTATATAGCCTCCATAGTATGGTGTGGTGAACAAAAAATTACTATTTAATAAATTTTATAAAACAAACTCAACATGCATATATACATGACATAGATGAAGAACAACAACAAACATGAAACCTAAATAACTACATATCGTAAATACATACATACCTGATAAAAAATGCATACAAATATGAATGCGATTTACTGACTACAATTCAGCACACTTCTGCTGTATTCAATTGAAAATGTGGTTTATTTAAGTACTGCGATAATATTTTATACTGATAGGCAATTTACTAATAGTTACATCATTTTCAGAATTCTTCATAAATTACACAATATCGAGAGCGAAACTTTTCATTTTCAAATAGGTCGGGCAGCTTGATTCTTTTAGGTCGCCGTTCCACTTAAACATAATCAGTAAGGGACATTGTGAAATGTTGTTTTGGCATCTCAATCTGATATTAGGTTTGTACGTCAGCTTATAGCGCGTTGAGATACAAAACTTTATCCGGATTAACCCACATTATCAGGATTTAATGCTTAATTCGGATATATTCAAAAAGATTTATTATACAACAACTTAAAAAGTATCAGTCGGTTTTGCCAACAGATATACACCCTACAACTTTCGTTTAAGAGTAAAGTAATTGGCTGACTGACTTAATGATTCATAAACGCCCAGGCGAAACACCTGAAGAATTTTGAAATTTTGGGTGAGGTACCTTTTGATCCGAAAAGGGCAGATAAGGCTGGGTTTTTGGAAATTCATACTAGAGCGGTACGAAAAGTATTAAAAGGTACTAAATAAATATGAAATGCAAAGGGTATTTGAGGAAGCAGTAGATCTAGATCTCCCAATTTTCAAATGCGGCTCACTGTAGGAAAGTATGGTAGATGTACCAAAGGGTACAAGGTTGAGGAGTAGAGTTGATGTAAGGGGGTAGTTTGGGAAATGTTTTCTTAAGTAAACGAAAAGTACTAAATTGAATTTGGAGGAACGGATGAAGCTGGAATCCTGAAATTTGCAATTAACATTACTGGCATAGTGTAGGATTAAGATACGGAGGTACTTTTAGACATCTGTACTTTTTTCTACGAAAAGTACTAAATGGTACTAAATTTAGTACAATTTCGATTTAAGTGAACCGATAGCGCTGGTATACTGAAATTTGTAAATAACATTACTATTGCATTGTAGGATTGGGGTATTTACAGGGTGAGATAAAAAACTACAACAAAAACAAACGCCATAATTTTTATATTTCTTTTAAATTTTGAAATAAAAAAATGTCGCAAATAGCATACAATTTTAGAATAAGTTTAGATTTGTTCGAATTGGTCACCTTTGGCACGAATTATGTCCTTCAAACGGCCAATGAAACCGTCACACGCTGCCCGAATGTAGCTCTGCGGTATTTTGGTCCATTCCCGGCGAAGCGCTTTCTTGAGGTGATCGACACTTTGGTATTTTTTGGTGCCAAGCTTGCTTTCCAAAATACTCCAGACACAATAGTCCAACGGATTGGTATCCGGAGAATACGGTGGCCATTGTGCGCTGGAAATGAAGCGAGGAACCTCATTTTGTGACCATTCTTGGGTGGCGCGTGCCAAGTGCGATAGTGCTTTACCCCGAGTTCAAGAATAAGTTCAAGAATTTTTTTTTTCCTTTTTTATTTGTCTTTTTTTGTGTTTTATAAAGTTTATATAATTTTTTTACTATCTATATATATATAAAAGAAAGCTATATGGATTGTGGCAACTCGGAATGGCCTATTGGAAGAAAAAAATAAAATGCGCCAGTAAAATGTAAATAATTTTGTTACATTTTGTAAAATATTTGTTTTATTTGTCATTTTTATCGCATAGGATTTTTTCAATTTGACTTTCTATTTTGAATTGTACATTTTGAAATATTTTTGTGTTGGCTTTGAAAATGAAGAAACACAAATTAGTGCGTAAAAAGATGGCTGCGACTTCGATCCGAAATCGACCAACACATTTGTGTGGAGCTAATATAAAACGTGGGTATTTTTATTTTGAATAGCAAAATTTCATCCAATAAAAATACAAAATAATAAATTACAGCCCATTTGT